ATAATTTGCCCGATCTGGAGAACATGTCGCTGCTGGTGGCCCACCTCCTGATCGGGATCCCCGAGAAGCCCTTCACCGTGGGTCCCGTATTCCGCTGCCTGTGCTACATACTCCAAAAGGGCGGCAACGCCATCCAGGTCTCCTGCTGCGTTCAGAATCTCTACTCCCGCCGAGGCCTCGTACATCTCCCACACCGCACACGCACACGCACACGCACCACCGCACACGCACACGCACCACCGCACACGCACAAGCACACGCACACAACTCACGTGGGAAACAGGTGAAGTGGCAGATCATGGTGGTGGACGGGGTGGTGGGTCGAGCGGCGACGCTGCCGCCCTACATGGGCACCATGCAGAAGGACGACCTCATGCGCGACTACCTCCACTCGCGTATCTCGCACTACATCCACCTCCTGGACGCCTCCACGTCGCGATCTTCGGTGCGGGCGACCATCGAGCAGCAGGAGCCGCAGCACCACCACCGGCCCGACGTCTACCCCACCCACTTGCTCTGGGAATGAACAACATTTCCTGTTCTCTATCTTGTCACATAAATAATAAATTAAGACATTTAAAAAACGTGCTTCACGCACTGTTCAAAACTGGCTGCCGTGTGCCAGCTGCACGCAAGCAACAAAACAGAAGGGCCAGGAGGAGAGTTGAACTCCCAACCTCCGCGATTTGGAGATGCGGCGCTCTGCCAGTTGAGCTACCCGGGTCCTTCCTGCCTCTCAATCCCAACAGCTCCTGGCCAACTGCACTTCACCGCAGCAGTGGAAAATCAGAATTGCCGAACCTTGATATTTCCCTCTGCCGTTTCCGTCACTGATAAAACGCACGCCAATCAGAAGGCGTGACAAAGGCCATAAGATGCCTTCGAAGGACGAATGTTGAATCCTGGTTGGTTGTCATCCTACTTTGTGGTTGGTCTATGACTGGTTTCTTCTGTTTGCACCCACATTTGCAAAAATAGCTATGAATGGTCACCTCCTCAAGTTTCCTAGAGCACAACCACCTCCCACCTGACAAGCCCTGCAGTTAAAGATGGGGTGAACAACACCAGGGAGAAAATGCAGGTGGTTGCCAGGCACACATGGATTAACTTCCTCCCTCACCCCTATCTCACCCTCTCCTTCTTGCCCCACCCCGCCCCATACTGTATGTACTAGAATCACCATGTATGGTTGGTTCTTGAGTGTTCTGTGTTAACTTGGAGTCAGGCGTATTGTGAAAATGTGGGCGTGTCGTGTGGTTGTACGCCCCTATTTGTCGTAGTGGACGACAAAGCGAGGGGACACGTAGCGCTTGCACTTTTGGCCATCCTCTTCGTCGTCGTCAAACAGCAGCACGTAGTTCTTGTCCTTCCGCTGTGTGTCGTGTGTTGTGCGGTGTGCGGTGTGAGAGGAGAAGGGCAGAACTGAACCAAAAGAAAAGGAGGAGAAAAAGAGGTGAGCTGAGGTACTCGTCGTGGCCCGACTTGCACCGTGGCCGGATAGAAGGCGGTGGTATTGGGGAACATGGCGAGCACCATCATGCCCTTGCTGAACTGCGTGCCTGCACGATCGAGCGACACACACGGCCAGAAGTGTGTTAGTTGGTTGCCTCGGTGGGCGTTGACCGATCATCGGGCGCACCTTTGGACCATGACTCGGGGAGCGAGGTGGGCAGCGGGATGACGCAGGGCCGGGGCAACAGGTAGCGCCTGCGGATCGAGAAAATAAATAAAAGAGCAAGGCGTGGTAACGTGAGGAATGATGTGGGCGTGTGCGTGTGCGTGTGCGTACTTTCGGTTGTTCTCGGTTTCTTCGGGATCGGCGTCGACGACCTCGTATCGCTGCTTGTCTGTGCGCAGAGCGGAGGGTGAGTGCGCGCACGACATGTGTCATTAATTCATTGCCTGCTTAAGAAGAGAGCGAACCGGCGACGTAGCGCACGACGGTTGCGAGAAGCCACTCGGCGGGGCGCGTTCTGCTTGCCTGCAAGCAGGAGACCACCGAAAATGAGTCCAGCCTCACACCACACCACACCACACCGCATGGTGCGTTAGCAGGGTGAATCCCAGGGTACCTTGACTGTCTTGGCGGCTACCGGTGTGCCCACGGGAATGATATATTCCGGTGGTGCCCGAATCGCGCCACACAACGGACCCGGCCTGCCGCAACACACCACACACCATGGGTCAGAGCGCGCTCAAGCGGCTGAACGAGCTCGCGTGTGGCTTTGGGAGGGGGAGGCGAGGGACGTCGAGAAGGGCGTACGATTTGCTGACGGCAGCTCGGCCTCCATGAAATTG